CCATGAGAACAAAGGAGTGGCACCCACGAGAACGGAGGAGTGGCCGCCGCTGGCGGTGACATCAGTGGATTATAAAAAAGTGAGGTATGAAATTGGGAGGGAGAAGTGTTGGTGAGGGACCAGCCTGGGGAATGTTGGAGGGAGGGAACTGAGGGTAGATATAATCAATATACATTGTAAACATGTATGAAATTTTTCCAAAGAATAAAAAAGGAATAGAGAAACACAGGTAAGTGGAAGGTGGATAGAGAGAGATAAAGAAGAAATGTGTAAAATCATTTTTACTTGATTTCAATAGAGGTTGAAGAACTGCTTGCAAGGCAGGATGATAGTAGATCAGAATGTTTCTTTTAATTGTTAAAGTAATACTTTTATTCTTTGACAGCACCACACGTTTATGCACTCTATCTCTTCCTACCACTGCCTCTTTCCTAATCCCCTCAATGTCTCCAACCTCATCTTCTTCCTAGCTTCATGTCCTCTTTTGTCTGTTTGTTTTTATTATTAATGGCTCCTTGAGTCCAATTAATGCTGCTAATGGGTGTACAAGGGTGTGCAGCCATCCACTGGAACGTGAACACCCTATTAGTGGCCACTTCCCCAAAGAGGAGTGACTCTTCTTTCCCCAGCAGCCACCAACTGTCAATAGGTTCTCTTCCTATTGGGAAGAGGGTGGGGCCTTGAGGTCCTTTCCCCATTCATGTTGAGATGTTGGATTGGTTTGATCTTGTGCAGGTCTTGAGCAGGTAACCACAGTTGCTGGGAGTTGATGCATTCAACAGCATGTCATGTACAGATGTCAGAATTTCACAGCTTTCCTCCCCATCTTCTGGCTTGTACATTTTTTCTACCTTCTCTTCTGAGAAGTTCCCTGAGCCTGGGATGTGGGAGGTTGATATAGAAGATCCATACACAGCTGTGTACTCAGAGTTAATTATACTTGACACTTTGACCAGTTATGAGTCTCTACATTCACCACTACCCACTGCCAAAAGAAGCTCCGCTATCAAAGTTGAGGGCAGGAAAAATCTATGGATATAAACATAAGTGTTTAGAAACATGGCCATTTAGCAAAGCAACAGCAATAGGTTCCCTCCTAGGGCCCATGATTGCCTAAGTCATGGGCTTGTGGTTGGGTTTACAGTACCAGGCATGAAATCAGTCCTGTCGAGCAAGTCTCATATCCAATCAGAAAGTGGTTGATTGCCTTCATAACCATCTTGCCACTATTGCATCAGTGGGCACATCTTGCCAGCAGGTTGGTATTATAACCTATAAGATCCAACTCTGGATAAGACCATTGATGTCTTTTCTCCCCCAGCAACTTACATAACACCTTTTGTAATCTAGCCAGAAGGGAGAAAGGTTCCCAATCAAGATTGACTTCAATGGTTTGTCAGCTAAGGGGTCTGCTGTCCAAGTTAGGCTTCTGTGGTGTTTGATGCAGTTCTTTCCTCTTTTTTTTCAGAGGAAAAAATCAGTTTCTTCCTTTGTATTCTTGGATACTACTTAATTTTTTTCTTTTCTTTCATTTTTTTTTAAAGATTGTATATCCCAAGCTGGTCTTAAATTCACAGTTCTCCTCTCTAAGCTTCTCAGGACTTTGTTCTGGTCTTAGCTATTAGTGTCTTTGGAGCTTTGCCATGCTCTTTCTGTATAGTCACTCCTCAGTCAATTTCATTTACTCTTATGACTTGAATATTTAATATATTTAAATATTACAAAAATTCTTAGCCACGGCCAATGAGATGTGCTTTGATGGTTTCCTCTCTCCCGCCTGATGTATCTGACTCTCTCCTTACTCATTCTGTTCTTGTCCCACCCAGATCCTGTTCCTTGAGTATTCCAAACCTGTTCTCTTAAATATTTTTATTTTTGTATTTGTACTAGTGTATTGCCTGCATGTATGTGAGTGCACCTGTGTCACGCAATGCTGCAGAAGTCAGAAGAGGGCTTCTGGAACTGGAGTTAAGGACGGTTCATAGCTGCCATGTGGATGCTGGGAATCAAACCCTCTGCAAGAGCAGTCAGTGTTCTTAACTGCTGTACCATCTCTCCAGGCCCTCGAAACCTGTTCTCTTACAAGCATATTTGAATCCATTCTTCCCTTTCTTTGAAATATGTTTCCAGATTTCCTCCTGGTTCACTTCTTATTTTATTCATTTTGCTGCTCCAAGGCCTGAGAGACATCTCCCTCATTGCTGAACCTCCCAACTTAGACTGCTACCCACCCTAGGGCATCATCTACCCCCTCACCCTGCTTTTCATTCTGCTCCAGGCTGGTCCACATTATATTATATTAATCATTTATTTCTTTATTTATACCTTTATTATCTCCAGTATTGTAAAGTAAGAGCTGAGAAAAATTTATTTTATTTCTTTTTGACTCTTACCTGGGCGCTCAAAAATTTTTGTTTAGTATTAAAATAAGCAAATATTGCTGATATTTCGACTTTTCAGGTCATTCTTCTCCAAAGCTAAATTGTTTAGGTTGTTTCAAGCACTCCTATTTGTGTTTGTTACAATTAGATGTCAGAGGTTACTCATGATGTACTCATAAAGCCACGAACTGGCTTTTCTTAGACATGGTTAACATAAAAGACTACGAACAGGGTAAAGTGCAGTTGACTGAGCTTTGCACAGAAACTTTATACTTCCTTAATTAGTGACATTAATAATGGACCAAACATTGCCTTTGGTTACTGATCATAAATACCATGTAAATTTATATTTACTTTCTCTCTTTGGAGTACAATGAGGTTATGGACTGTGAAATCTTTATTTTAGTCTTGGGGACAGACCCAGGCACTGGTAAGTAGAAATTGTCAGTGGATGAACAATGATTGAGGGAAATGAAGTCATTTAGACACAAATCTATGCCTGTCTTCTGGGAAGATTTGTCAAGGTCTTCATAAGAATCTGTGACACAGTTTCCTTAATCAGCGGCCTTCTATGTTCCAACCCTAATTTAAATTCACTTCCTCAATAAACTCCCAATTTGCACACAGGCCACTTTCTGACCAAATTAGCCTTCCTTTTACTTTCTGTGATTCACAGTGGATTGAGCTACAGCTTCTATATTCTGTGGATTCCACCAATTAGAGGGAGTGGAGCAGCAGGACAGGTCCACAGGGATACAGACCAGTGAAAACTATATTTCCCAGATAATCAAGCATATTTTCAAAACACAAGTGTCTGGTGGGGTTGGATTTTTGAATTAGGGTGAGGTTTGGGAAGATGGTGGTAAAATCTGGTTTGTAATGTTTTCAGCCTCAGGACAGCCTAAGGGTTTGAGCCTTGGTCAAAATGCCCTTGAAACTAATTTCCATAATTGATAAGAAGTTGGTGTTAGTCATATAACTTTGAAGTAGCTATGTGACCGCCAGGGCTCAAGGAAATCCGTAGCTCAAGTGTCTCAGACGTGAACTTGTTCATATCTACTGAACATCCTTTCTTGACTATCCCAAATGTTGAATGAGTAAGACATTAAAAAGGTATGTCTAGGAGTCATGAGGCTTCCACTGTCCCATGCATGGCATGTAGCTGTTTTGTACCTTCTCTTAAAGCTCAATAAAATTAGGGGCTGGAGAGATGGCTCAGTGGATAAGAGCACTGGCTACTCTTGCAGAGGACCCAAGTTCAGTTCCCAGCACTAATGCAGTGGCTAACAACTGTCTATAACTCCAGTTCCAGGAGATCTGATGCCCTCTTATCCTCTCAGTGGGCACTGCATAACATGAGTGCACTTACATACCTGCAGGAAAAGCACTCATATGCATAAAAATAAATCAGAAAAATATTAAAAAGCTCATTAAAATTGATGGTGTGTATTTCATGACTTTATTGTCAATCTGAGACCAAGATCACTTCCAACTAGTTAAGCAGAAAAGATGTTGTAGGTTCTGAGGTTAATGATTTTGAAAAATCTCCTTTAGATAATTCTAATACAAGCTTTCAGTTGGAAAAAAGTGGTCTAGACCAATGACGTCCTCCAGCTGATGAGGTCAAGAGTATGCTGACATGTTTAAAATTTTCATAGGCACTTGGGAACAGAGTCAGGACTGTATCTTCTTGTAATGCATATACATCTGTGGTTTCCCATGAAAGTGACTGAGGTCACCTGGAATAAAATTTTCCAAAATTTCTTCTCTGCATCTTGAGTCCCATGAACCACTTCATGATAAATTAGGTGCTGTATAATTGAATGATTTTAGCTTTGGGAAATAGTGCACATCATTATTACTCTTTAAAAATTAATTAATTAATTAATTAATTAATTAATTTTTATGTGTATGAGTATTTTTCATGCATGCATGTAAGTGCACTCATGCTGTGCAAAGCCTGTGGAGGTCAGAAGAGGATGTTAGATTCCTTGGAACTGGAGTTATGAATGGTTGTTAGACACTATGTGGATACTGGGAATTGAACCTGGGTCCTTTGGAAGAGCAGTCAGTGCTCTTGACCACTGAACTATCTTTCAAGCCCCCCATATTACTCTTTTAGAGATTATACTATACCAAAGTCTCCAAAGTATCTGTCTGATAGCAGTTTTGATTCATTTAACATAGTTGCCCCAAATTTTTGAAAATAGAATTATTTATTTATACAACTATTAAGTTGAACAGAAGCTTGGGAAACAAACTTAAGTTGACCTCGATAACTACAGATTGAGTAAAAGGTTAATAATAATGGTCTTCAGGACATAAAATCTAGACTGTAGGTGTTACTTGTACATGTTATTGTCTAAAGCACACACACATTGTCTCAAAATGTGTAGCAAATAGATTTAGTAAAGATTTATGTTATTACTGTGGCTTATTATGGGGATTAGGAGTCTTGTTTCCAAGTCCAAACTAAGTGGAAAAGCATCTACCCTTCAAAAGTTGGAGGCAGATACGAAAATGTTCATCAAAAGATGAATCATCATAATGTTTACACAAAACTTGAACTGAATCATTCATCTGGTTATGCCGATCAAAGGAATTTAGAAGCTCATGGCATCAAAGGGAGGCACTTTTATTGATAAACTTTCTCAGGGCACCTTTCATGTCCTTATTCCTCAGGCTGTAGATGAAAGGGTTCATCATGGGTGTCACCACAGTGAAGAGTACTGCACCAATCTTGTCTGTGTCTTCAGGGTGAGTGGAAGAAGGGAAAAAGTAAACCCCTACAATGGTCCCATAGAAGAGCAAAACAACTGTCAAGTGAGAACCACAGGTAGAGAAGGCTTTCCACTTTCCCTCTGTGGATGAGATTCTCAGTACATCCCTGATAATGCATATGTAGGAGAAGAGGATAAGGGCAAAGGGGAAGGTGATGACTGATAAACCCACAATAAATTTTGTAAGTTCATTCATCATTGTATCTGAGCAGGACAGCTTGAGCAGAGGGGCCAAGTCACAGAAGAAGTGTTGGATAGTGTTGTGGTTACAGAAGACCAACTTATTGGCCAGAAGAGTATGTGTCAGTGCAACAATATTGCTCAGAATCCAGGGGATGACAGTGAGCAAAATAGAAAACCTGGGATGCATAATAATTTTATAGTTCAAAGGGTGGCAGATAGCCACAAACCGATCATAAGCCATGACTCCCAAGATAAAATTGTCAATGACAACAAACACAATAGAAAAGTACATCTGTGTGATGCAGCCTTCATAGGAGATGGACTGACTCTTGGTCTGAATATTTGTGAGCATTTTTGGGACTGAGGTGGAAGAGGAAGAAATATCAGCAAAGGATAGGTTGGCAAGGAAGAGATACATAGGTGTGTGAAGATGTGTATCTAAGCCAATGGCCAGGATGATCAATCCATTCCCAACTACAGTGACAAGGTACATACTCAAGAAAAGCACAAAGATGAGTTTCTGCTTCTCAGCCTGGTTGGAGAGTCCCAGGAGGATGAATTCAGAGATAGTTGTTTGGTTTCCTTGATGCATACTTCTGTTAATCTGAAGAGAAGAACAGAAACTCTTCGAGTCCTCAAAGTAAAAAACAAAAGCAAAACCCCAAACGGCACTATTTATCTGCAATTATTTGGGAGTGGCACTTCCTTTTTGCTGAAAGAGAATGAACATCCTTTTGTTTAAGAAGAAAGGCAACTTGATAAAGAATTATATTAGCAGTTCAGAGACCGAGGAAATGTCTTAGCAATAAAACTGAATAAGTGCTTCTCAGTGAACAAGTTTTAAACTCTAACAGAGCTCTGACTATAATTTTTATAGTTGGCTCTAAATGTTGTTTAACACCCCAAATTGAGGACCATAGTGTCCTCCATATTGCAAAGATGCTAGATGCTCCTACATTAATTACTTAAAAATGAACAAAGAGGGACTAGCAAGATAGTTTAGTTGGTAAAGTGCTTGCCATACAAACACTGGGTCCTGAGGTCAATCTCCAGCACCTACACAAGAAAACGGTCACGGTGGTTTGTGCCTTTAATCTCAGCTCTGTCTCTCTGTCTCTCTCTGTCTCTCTGTCTCTCTCTGTCTCTCTCTCTGTCTCTCTGTCTCTCTCTGTCTCTCTGTCTCTCTGTCTCTCTCTCTCGCCTTTCTAGCAAAGTTAGAAGAGGGTCAGTATAAAGGAACTGCACCTGTAGATGGACTAAAAGAAAGCAACCAGCCTCTTTATTTCTACACATTGGCCAGTTGTGGGTCTGAGTTAATCACCATCTGCTGCATGAGGAAGCTTCTCTGGTGAGAGCTGAGAGATGCATTAGTCTATGGATATAACAATAAGTCATGAGGAGTCAGTTTAATGCTCTATCTGTTTAGCGGGATAATAGTAGGCTCTGCCCTATGGCTTGTGATGTGTGTAGCCACAGGTTCGTAGGCCTGATATCAGTGTAGAGTAAGGGCTCCTTCTTCTGAAGCAGACCTTAAATCCAATCAGAATGCAGTTGGTCACTCCCATAACATTTATGCCATTACTGCACTAGTGGGCTTAGCTTGTGAGGCCAGTTGTTGCAGTGCAAAGGGTTCACAGCTGGGCAGAGCGCTCATCCCTGAATAGGACACCTATATCAAACGGCTCTGTCACCCAAGTCTCAGAGACCATTGTGGAAGCAGGGTGTGTGGAAGGATTATAAGAACCAGAAGTAGTAGATGGCCACAAGGAAACAGAGGGAATTTTTGGTCTCATTCCTGATTTTATTATTTATTTATTTAATGTATTTATTTATATTTTATTGAATTTTTGGGTATTTCGTACAAAACATCTTAATTATCTTTATACAACCTTCTTTATCCACACCCTCCCATAGCCACTCCCTCCAGATTTCATGCATTCTGTCATTTATGTTAAGGTCTATCCAGTCAAGTTAGTGTCCTCAGACATCCCTCAGGACAAGCCCATCCTAAAGTCACTCCATTAAAGAAGATCAGCTCTCCCTTACCCAGCAGTAATCAGCTGTCAATGGTTTTTTGGCTAAGATTGGGGGCTGCTGCCCATTTCCACAGTTCTATGCTGGGTTTTTGAAGGCTTGAGTTTGCATGGGTCTTGTGCATGCTGACACCATTGCTGTAGATTCATAGGAGCAAGGTAAAAAAAACCCCAAAGAATCAAGTAACAAATGACCAAATGGGCTATGGAACTGAACAGAGAGTTCTCAATAGAAGAAATAAAGATGGTTAAGAAACACCTTAAAAGGTATTCAACATCCTTAGTAAGGAAACAGAGTTTTACAGACATCTAGGCAATTACTTATATGAACTCACAGCAATGGTGATAGCATGCACAAGTCCCACATTAGCTCAAGCCAGACAAAATCCCAGCATAGACGTGGGAAGTGGTTGAAGCCCCAACCTTAGCTGAGGAACTATTGGTAACTGACAGGTGCTGAGTGAAGGAGAGTCAGTTTTCTTTAAGGGTGTGATACTGGATAGGTTAATCAGGCTCCAGTGGATGGACGCACACTGAAGAGCATCTGGTGACACAAATTTGACTCAATAGGCATTAATATATATGACAAAGTACATGACATTGTGCAGAGGGTATTAAGAAGGGGGTACAGATAAGGGAGGGAGTCTTAATATGCTCAAAATTTATTGCATGAAGTTTGTGAAAATTCAATAAAAAATGAAAACAAGAACAATCAGAACTTTGCTTCATTTGGAGATTTGTTAGGTAATCTAAAATATTTAAAAGATACATGTGAACCTGAAGCTTTGTTTCACCTCTGAAGATGGGAACTTATTAGGTTATTAGACCACTGTGGTGGGGCCTAGGGAAAAGGTGGAGGCAGAGAAGGCCTGTATTCCCACTCATGGCAAGGAGGAAATACATGAATTTCCTTGTAGGCCAAGTGAAGGCTTAGGAAGTGGTTGTATTAAAGCTATCTTGCTGGGAATTCAATCCAGAAGCATCCTAGTGGGGTGGTGTCAGACATGAAGGGCCTCTCCTATGAAAGAAAAATCACTGCTTTTATCAAGGAAATGTTTAATTGGGCAGTCTGCAAAGTGAAGCCTCTGAAGAACCCCTAAATGGTGTGAGGCCTGTCACGGATAAGGGACTCAACTGGTAGTGCTTTCTGGTAACTGACCTTTATGCTACTGTCTTCTTTTGTCTTCTCAAACTTCATCCTGACCCTATAAAACTAAGGAATAAAAGATGGCCACCCAAACAGTAATGGGAATGAAGACGAAATTAGCAATGCACTGTGGGATACAAGGCTAAAAATTGAGAGGAGTGAAGGGACATGACTTCCCGCTACACAGCTCCTGACTACAAAAGGCATAGACCCTGACTCACCGTATAGTCCCTGAAAACACAAGGCAATAGCTTTTGACTCTACAATGCACAGCTCCTAACTATCCACTGTACAGCCCCTTACTACACAAGGCACAGCCCCTAACTATCCACTCCTTAGTTCCTGACTGCCCACTGCAGAGCCAATAGCCTCACATGGGATCTGAGATCAACAGAGAGGACGCATACTTTGAACTGAAGTGAAAGTGAAATTTTAAATTGGGCTGGACTTGGCTTTTATTTTAAATTTGGAGATAGCAATTCAATATAAAAAACTTACCATGATGAGTAGTGAGAAAGCCATTTATAGCTTAAAGGTAGTCACATATAGACAGAGGAAGGAGATTGGACTGGTGTGATTTCTCTTGAGATCCTGGCTCCTGTTTTTCTTCCTGCTCCTGATAACATTTGCCCCTCCCCCTTCCCTCCCTCTCTTTCTCCCTCCATCCCTCTTTTCAAGTCACCATCTTTCAAATACTTTTTCCATGGAGAGGATACAGTCAACCACCATCAGTATTCTGGAAAAACTGAAGGGCAGCTGGAAAAGGAGAATGTCTGAGGACCTCTTACTTTAGAGGGTAACCATCTGCAGCAGGGCAATGCCATGAAAAACTAAAATAACATAAAAAGTTGACAGGGATCTGCAGCTAATATAGAGACCAGCCTGAGTAGGCCCTGTGGTTACTAGGTCCTGGGCTGTTCGGGGTGGTTTTATGTGTCTAACTCTAACCTTACCTTCCCCTTCTACCTCTCCTGGCCACCAGCAATCGTCTCTAAATTGTTTGGAATCCATGAGGTAGCATTCTAGGTGGTTAAGACTAAAGCTAAATTCTAAAAGGCTCACCTCTAAATGATGGCAAAAATCTCAGAAGACATTGGAATCTAGACTGCAATTTTCTTTTAGTATTTGCAAGTATAGAGGTGGGGACTGAACAGCTCTTCTGGGCTTCTCAGTTGATGTAGTTACAGTGATGGGCTCATGTGGGAAATTAAATTGATCCCAGGTCCTTAGGGAAATCATCCCTGAAGTGTTTTCCTTAAGACAAACCATAATTTTGACATCCTGGTTTGCATTAGTAAATGGGGAATAGACAGGCAACTTTGCTTTTTGCTTTATTTTGTCTTCTAGTCTGTTTTCTATACTGAGTACCTGGTACTGCTATTTAGTGCAGATGAATTGTTGGCTGTGCATCTTCTCTGTTTCCAGTGGCATAGGAACATTTTAGGAGTCTCTTCTTTGTTTTTTCCTGCTGAATGATAGAAACACTTAGTCAATACCTAGAGAACTGAGTTGCATTTCTTCACCAGCAGTTATGACTCCAGTGAATTAACATCTCTAGTGGAAGGAGATCATGGATGCTGACAAGATGTCAGTATTGGAAGAGAGTCTGTATATCTAGTAACTTAGTCCCCAACATTATTTAATTGAAAGGGAAAACAAACATAGAAATGATATTGAATGGTACTCACCATGTTTAGAATCCTGGAATAATAGACTCTGCTGTCTATTATTATAAGGGCAACTACACAGTCAGAGACTACAGACAAAATGAGCTCTTCTAATGCTTACTTGTGCTTTATAATACATTGTAGTTATTTACCACCTAAACTGTGGACATTCGTCTTCTCCTCACCAGGAAACAACTTGATCTGTGGGTTAACTATAGACATGACATGTATTCAGTCACATAAATTCATGACTAGTACTTAAAGTAATGAGAGGACAGAGGAAAAAAAGTAATATATCTACATGTCTGTCTGTCTGGTTACAGAAAAGAAAAATACATGAGTCATACCAGAATGCTTTTGCTAATATGTTCATGGTAGGGGTTTATGTGTTACCTCTTCTAATTGTTTTAACATGGGTCTTCTGGGAAACAGAGTGGGAAGTTAAAAAGAGGACTATAGATGACTAAGATAAATATACAGCATTGTACTATAATGCATTATTTCAAGAGTCATTGTTAACTACAACCATTTCAACTTCAGAGATCACTTATCAGATCTGTTCACTCAACATGTTGTTGCTATAGAAGGAGAAAACACACTTGGAAAAGTCTATGGTGGCAGGAGAAAATAAATCAGGTCCACTCCATGAGGCATTCTTAGAATTTTCAGGTTGCATTATTTGGCACCTTGGTGACCACACAGGAAATCAAGAACCACATTCTTCACAACGGCTGTTACTTTGAGTCTAGAAATGGAGGGAAATTTTATTTGAGAG